AGTTTATTAAATAACTTATTATAAAAGAGATACACCATCATTTCTTGTAATCATTACAAAGGCGTCAGACTGCCGGTTTACGCAAAGAAATATCCTTCATAAACATTCAGATAAACTTATTAATATGTACTTCTCTTACTAGTCACTGGGTATCAAAGAAAGGAAGAGAAAATATGTCCCTCGATGCAGAGACTTGCAGGAATTCAATTAGTGTGATACAGCAGATCTTCTATATAAGAATATCACTGTTGCCTCGTCGCGTATACGATAATTCGCCCTTGGTTGTCATAATTGAGGCAACAGTTTGTCATTGGTCTTTGCTACACGTAACTTCTCGAAGGTGAGAAAGATCTTTGCTTGATAATATTATGTGTCATATTATGGATCATAAGGGTACGTGAACAAACAAGGAACACACACACAAACAAACATCATACGTTCTATGAATCATCTTTTTTATTCGTGTATTAAATTCAAATTTATTGACCAACACTCCTGCAATGCAGTCTTTTCATAATTAGTATATTATTTGCATTATCCTTAATAAAACAGCTTGTTTAGCCATGGTGAACGGGGGGGGGAGGTATACGTAATAGTACAAGAAGGTAATAAAGGTAATAATAATAGGCGAAAATGCTTGGACAACACTACTCTAGAACGTACTCTATATTAAATGCAAATGGCTGGGCAACTTGTGATTATCTAAAAAAAAAAAAAAAAAAAAAAAAAAAAAAAAAGGCTGTATATAAATGAAGATAGGAGCGTCGAATGGGGGTCTCAATTCAATTCTCTGACAAATACGTTTAAATGTTTTGTCAATTTAATCCTTCATCACGCATGATTGTAGTGCATTACCGAAAATATACCAATGTTTATTGATATAATTACTAATGAAAGCCGAATTTAACAAAATATTTGACTAATGCAACTGGTCTACACTCAAACGTTTATGGTAATGGGCAAAAGTGAGCAGAGGGATCGTGTGTCGAAAAGGATCAATACTTCTTTTGTATTTCCAGTTAGTAAGGTCTTCATTTTAAAACTGAAAGTCGAATACTTACTGAAATTTTCTTTTTTATTTGATAAGTTTAAGATATATAAAGAGATAATCACCGGAAAATAAACGGCTTTGAAATTTGATTGTTTTCTGCCATATATGTTTATTTAAAAGAAAATAAATATGCATACTCTGATACCTTAGTATGCTTCTCCAAAATGAAATGATTTTTTTTAAGTTCACTTGTTCATTACGTACGCCTGTTAATATCATTCCCTATGAAATGAAAATCCATCAAATATATACACAATAAATATGACAAATTCACTTCAAAGACGACGTGGGAAGGTGTTCACAGGTGCTACATATCAAAGACTTCTTGTACTTCATAATTCTGCTTTATTACAGGAAGAAACAAAAGACATATCAAAATAGAATGCCAAAATCTCCAATTCCAAATCAGGACATAACATAAGGCCTCAAAACCGCACAGAATTTGTCTCAAAAACAAATACACTTCACAGAAAGATAAAAGAATCATTAAAAAAAAAAAAGAAACTGTTATTCCTAATCCTTTCATATTATTATCATTATTATTACACTGCTAAGGAATGTACGCATGTCATCACTTCAAAATGCCTGACATGTGAATGGTACTAGTAAGGCATAACACATGAGCTAACACAAGGCCATATGCAAATGGTCTCCTCCGAGGGAAAGAAGGTGTTTGAACTATGATTTATTTCTATCTTTTAAAATTTGTTTCCTACACACAGATTACCTGCTTTGCTGATTTGAGGTATTCCTGTCAATAGAGTGGGGTTTAAATTTAGATTTTTTTATCACTTTTCTTTCCACAATAAATCTAATAATCGCATTCTATCACAATCTACATATGTATTACTTCATCCTTTACGGCTCCCTACTGGGTTACATTCTCAGAGAGTCGAATTTCACAGAATTTTGGACAAAAATTTGGTTCATATCTGTTTCAAAGTTCCATAACCATTAAAAAAGCAATATATCATAGCCTTATAAGCAGGATGCAAGCCTTCCAAATTTGTTAATTTTGATATGTAAAATATTTATGGCATCTCATTGTACTGTTAATCGTCCTTTCATATGACATAAAATTATTTATTCATTCTCTCACTACATAAAAATACATCCTTTCCCAGATCTTTCCAACCTTATTTCATGATCAACCCTTACATTACCTATAATTTACCCAGGTTAAAGTCCTAACAATGAAGCATTTAGCAGACTACATATTACAAGGATGAATGTGCAAGAAATCCTACAATATGCAAAAAACTTTATACATTCTGGGTACTTCCATATGTTTCACAGCATCTTAATAAAATATGTTCTTGTAACACTTTCAAAAACGCTTTTGCAATGCTGATGTGACGGATGCTTTTTTATCTACAAATATTTACAGAAAGAACCATGCGAAGTATGTAAGAGTCACTATTTTCTCTCATGGTTTTATTAACTGCAATACCAATTGGTTTCAAAAAGTGAAAAAAAAGGAATCAAGCTTGGGAGCTTCCATAAATATGCACCATTAAAAATTATCAAATAATTTGATAGTGAACATTTTACATCCGTAGCAATAGATTAAGCCAGTATTTTTCCTTTAAAATGAAAAAAAATACTGATTTATGAAACAATATAAATTGTCCAATGGCTGAATAAGCTGGAGAAAACCTGGACTGTCATTGTAGTCACTATGTATAACCCCTCTATATTTTCATAAAAGACAACATATCAATTAAATAATGTGAATAGCTGTGGTCTTTTTTCAAAGGGATATGATTTTACACAGTCATGTCTCACTGCTTTGAACTAAAATACTTAACATTCCAGCGAATAAAAACATACACGCAACCCATCTATGACACTTCCATATGTACCAAACAAATACAAATTCCACGAGCCTACAAAAAAGTGAGCAACCCATTACATAGGTGTTTACAATCCAAGTATAAAATAATGAGTAAATTCAATCAGTGAAATGCATTACACTGTAAACTGCATAAACATAGAATAGCTTGGAGAATTTTGAAGACATTAATGTGACCCTTTAAACCCAGACACAACAGCATCAATAATGCAGTAACAGAGACATGCATATTATTGTCATTATATACATTAATATGTATTTATAAAATCACTAGATATGGTAAATATGACTATAAAAAAGACAGACTTAGAAGTCGTCATACATGGTAGTTATGAATAAGATACATCTTACCATTTTCCTTTTTACAACCACATCATTTCACTTGGAAAAGTCTTACACTAACCATCTAAATAAGATATACTCAGGGAAGAGAGAGAGAACAAAAATTCATTGATTTTCAATGCTTCACTGAAATTCTTACTGGTTTGTTATTCTACTAACAAAAATCTGTAACAACAAAACTTGAGGATAAATAAAAAACAACTAAGCTTCGTCTTTGCTTTCTAAATATTTGCAAATCAACTGCACAACAAAACTGCATGACATGGCAATCTGCACATCTTAAGGCTGATAAACTGCTCAAGTCATTAACTTCATACAAGTTAATATTGCTATTATTTTAAATTCCATCTCATTTTCCCATTAAAAAAGATTCAGATCTTTTCCTTGTTCCCACTTGCTCATCTTATTAGCCCTCTGTAAAGTGTGTCTTTTTGGGTGAGTATTCTCCTTCTGCAAATCTATCATGAAATCTTCCAATCTTGAGCAATTTTCTGTGCAAAAGGCAAGTATATCTTAATACTAAATCTACACCTATTTACTCACTTTACTTGACGCCTTTCAGAAACTGTAAATCAATAAAAAAAAAGATATTTATAACAAAAGAATCTTCTGAACTTCACAAACAACTGAAAGTGATAATAATTACATACATAGCATGTTGGAAATTATACAATATAATGTGGATATTACTGAAAATTAACATTACTTCCTTCTCTTTGCTCACATTCTATGTGAATTCTGTAATATATATTACATTTGTTCTCTCTGTTTTAATAATCTCTAAGCACAAGAAATTATCACAGTTTGTAGTACTATATTTCAAAACCATAAATAAAAAATCTGCAAAATATCACTGTACTTTAATGAGGGAAACTAGAAGAAAAATAAAATATAAATATTGTTCAACTATCTATCTATTATCCACTCTAATACCACAAATTAGTTCTACAATATATCAAGTAAATTGTGATAAGGACTCTCTCTACAGAGGTACAGAGCAAAGTATTGTAGAGTAAGAAGTGAGACACAGAAGGCAAGGCAAGGAAACACAGAGAGGATGAGAAGAGATTGAAAGGAAGATATCACATGTATGTTTAAAAACTTATGATACTAATCATAAATTACTTGTTAATGATATTCATCTTCAGTGCTCTGTCTTGAAAAGGACATTTTAAAACTACAGTTCTGACTAGCTAATGCAGCTGTTCTGAAAGCAACATCATTAAGAAACATGTCCTCTGTTACTCCAAGTTCCTTTAAAGTGAGGGCAGCACTTTCAGTTTCAAGCCCTTCTTTAACACTAACTGCTGAATCCTTTGTATCTTTTTCATTCTCTGTAGTATTCTTTTTGTCACTAAAATCACTAGATTCTTTATGTACAGGGTTTTCTTGACTCTTTTCTGACTCTGCTTACCATTTCCCCCAATTAATTTTGATTCTAGGGATTCTACAGACTCTATGGACTTATTACTGTTGCATATTAGGGCATCTTGTCTTGAGAAGGGTGGGTTGTTCTTGGAGGCAGGGCACATGAAAGACTCATCGCACTCTACGCCTACTTCCTCTAACTTTCGCGAACTACCAAGCTCTGAAACACCTTCATAATGAGATGGAGCATCTTCATGCCATGACCTAAGTAGCTCTGTTGTCTGTTCTTTGAAAACAGGTAAGCCGTCGTCCTCTGCTTCCTCAGCAGAGCTTCGATCTTTCTTTGCTGTCAAACTAGGATCTGACCCATGTACGAGTCCTAAGGCCTTGGATACACTGTTCATTAACTTTAAATCATCACAACTAGATATCTCACTGATCTTATAATAGGGATTGTGTTTTCCACCAATGTGATTGAGGCCATTATCTAATGAAAAACTAACCCATTGGAATGAGATAACCTTTCATCTATATTATGGTGATCAACATGACCAGAATCAACAAGAGTATGGTTAACTTTGTCTACAAATACAAACTTTCCAGTTCTACCTTCTCCACTCAGAGGAACTGCTTCTCTTACATAGAGGGATGCATTAATTGGCGAGGTCTCACTGGTGGAATCGGTCTCGCTATCAGATTTACCCAGTTTCCACTCTGCAGAGCTCTCCTGAGGGTCAGCAATACTTGAGGGAACCTTTGTATTATCCTGAGATGTGCTGCGAGCCAAGGGATTCAGAGGGAGGCGAGGAGACCGTTGCTGATGCAAGAGAGTTGCAGGAGTTCGAACTTCAAGATTTACAGGAACAGGTGATGCAGGAGGAGGCACTAGAACATCTGGCATCACTGCCATTGGCTGGTTACCACCAATGCTGGAAATATATACATGTAAATAATTCTACATAAAAAGCTGTATGCACAAGCTGTTTAGACAAAACAAAGATGATCAACTATCTCAACAGTGGATTACTATACTTATTATGACATCAAAAAGGCAATCACCTGGACTGAGTAATCTTCATCATAAGAGCACTCAGATTTGGCAGAGTTTGCCTGAGGTCTGGTGTTGGAATGCCACAGTACCATCGTATCTGTGCAATGTTCTTATTGAGCAGAAACACACCATATTGGAAATGCAGCTTCTCCCTCTCTTTTCCCCGAGTGTATAGAGGAAACCTGTAGCCAGAACGAAATCCCATGTTGATTACTGTCTACAAGAATCCAACATTGCTACATCAACAGCTGAACTAATAATACGAAATATCTCATTAGGAAAAGGTAATTCCAAATTGATAAACCATTTCCTAAATCAGACAAATCATCACACTCACAGTACACATTAGAAAAGCTCAACTTACTCCCGCTCACTGTCACGAAGCTGTAAAGAAGTGGTGTCGGTGATGGTGGCCAGCGATCCATTAGGAGTAACAGGGTAGCGCAAGGGTACATGCAAGAGGTGTGCCATCAGGACAATCAAATGTGCTACAAAACCAAGCCCTACACTAAGAGCCACTTCATTACAGTTGTCATAGTTCTCCGCATCTGGCAAATGGACACCGCATATCCTGTACTTCTTGCCATCACTGTCCTGTAAATAATTAATTTTCAGAAAATTAATGGAGGTCTATCCCTGGAAAATGGCCAGAATATAAGGAATCAACCTTCTTATGCATTAAAGGTAACATATAAACATACTTAATAAGAAATGGAAAACTACAAATACAAATGATGATTACCTTCCATAGAAAACTTACAGACTGACAGGCATGATAATTAACACTAATATCTGATCCCCTATTCATAAAAACAAGATACACAAAGGATATAACTTACTTGAGTAATTGGGTAGATCAAGGGCAACTGGGACACAAGCATTCTGCGCCACTCCCCAAGACAGGTGCATGCCTCTCTAAGGCTCTCCCAGTCACCACTGGTTACATCCTGCAGGCCTCTGACATGGACCAATTGCCTGTGAAGTCCCTGGTATCCTCCCAATAACTCCAGGCCTGGAATAAAGGCAATATCAATACTGATAATACCAATTACAATAACAATAATAATAACAATAAAAATAGCAACATATCATTAAGATTAAAACTAACATACACATAATCAAACCAAGAAGAGAAAAAATTAGAATAGAAAAGAGCATAGTTTATGTTAGTCACACTAAAACAAGAGTATTACATATGCACATACACCAATGCCTAACATCAATATACATATCTAATAAAAATCAAAACAAGGAAGAATTACTAACCTTTTTCTTGGTTTTGATTATCCAAATTGTCAGCTGAAAGTTTAAGAGCCCTCAGCTGATCAATTTCAGCCTCGAGCTGTTCCCGGAGAAGTGCAACTTTAACTCTGTAGTCTTCGACCTGTAAAGATGTTGTGAAGAAATCAACTTGTGGAAGAAAAAAGTATGTATATTTTTCACATTTTTCATTATTAATCCATAAACACCAAGATGGCTTCCTTGAGGACATCCTTAAACTGTAATGTTCAGCCAAGTTGCCTCCACAAAGGATTAACTCTTCTTCCTGCACCCCTTTCTGGTTATCAGTCTACAACACCCACTTTCTCGTTCCGTCCCCTAGGACTCTCTCCTCTTCCCTTAGTTTACTGGTGTAGCGAATATAATGTACTAAAATACATAAGTTTGCCTTTCATTCAGTCTTTTAAATATACATATAAATATATCTTCTACTATAGGAATGGCTAGGAGTGAAAATGAATGATTTCATAGAGCAATTAATAAACCTGATGTATTTGATTAAATCTTCATTCAAAAATCTATGTATTTCTGATGATGATTTAACTAATGCATCAAAAACATTCAAACTTCAAGAAAAATAGGATCTGTTACCAATATTTGTTTTACATGATTAACACAAAAACTCCTAAAAGCAAGAAGGGAGGATACTAACTTGACAACAAATTTCCACTTTCAAAGACAAAAAAATTGGATGACCAGTGATGAAATGCAAGTCTCCTGCTCCATAAAATTAGGTGTAAAATCTTAACTTGAGGTATATTCTAAGGCCAAGGAGCAAGTTACTTTCCATTCTGAGCTTAAACTTTCTTGCTGTCCATAAATATCTTATCAACAGAGGGAAAACTTATTTCAACAACTCATTTAACAAAAGCAGGGCTAAAGAACATATGTAATACAAACACTTTCAGCCACAGAAATCAGGCCTAACATTCCTCATCCAAAACTCACCTCAGCAGCTAACTGTGAGGCCCGTGAGGTTCTCGTAACGCCTCGCATCTCAAGGACTTCGTTTGTCTCTTGACATCTGATTTCTTGTTGTCTTTGAGCTCGTTTCGTGCTGTGTAATCTAAGAATAGAGAACAAGATTACATTTCTTCTTATACCATGAAATATAAATATTTAATGTACGGAATTCTTACCAAGAAAATTAAGAAATCTGAAAGACTGTCTTGCAACAACATTCCACTCCTTACTCTAAGAGTGCTAACAAAATATTCCAGTGCAGGTGTCACTTTAAAAATCATTAATAAATTATCATAGAAATTAATGCATGTGTCTCTTTTCTTTAATATAATGGTCAAAAACTTAAAAAGGCACTAAAGATGAGTAGGGATAAAGCAGTTTCTATATCTTAAAAGAGTCATTCTAAATTCATATTAACACAACACTTAAAAGTTTTTTTGTTTTTGGTTTTATTCATTAATTCTGGACTGTATTGAGAATAATCAAAATGCTTTCAGGTACTACCCTGACTTCATATCCAATATATTCAATGAAAATGTATCCCATATAAACCATAACAAATATAAACAAAAGTCCAGTTTATTTTTCTTGCAAATCAAACATCAACTCTACTGGCTGTGGGCTGCATTTTCAAATGTTATCAAAACTGATTATCATCATTATAATTATTGACATAAATATTTCTATAATGTTATTAACAATCCTAATAGAATTTTTTTCTTTTAAATCTAAAAATCAAGGAAAATGGTAAACAGATGAGAGAATTAGGAATAGTAATTCACTCTTTGGTGTTTCAGTACTTGTGGAGCCTTCTATGTGTAAAGACACTATAACAAACAAAAAACACAGTGGCCATGCCTTGGATTTTTGCCATCCCGGTATCAGTAGCTTAATTTTCAAATTGGCAACGAATATTAAACACCAGCCAACAAGTGGCATGTACATGTATGCCATGGCTGTGGTGGACCGAATATCGGATAGCATCATATTATGCCCATTCCTGCGCCATTGGCTCGTCGGACAGGGTCATTTAGTTGGTAAAGATTTTAGACAATAGCACCTATAATAAAGATAAACCTTTAAAATTATAATATTTCTATTAATTATAGAAAAATAAGAGCTTTTAGGTGCCCAATGTCGCTCATAAACTACTGAAGTAGCAAGGCGCAAACAGGGGAAACTGCTGATGCGCGCCAACAATCCCATTATTATGTCCACTTGCCAAACTTTTATACCCGTTGGCACTGGGTTAAGAGATGCACACGTATATATCTAGGTTAACACTCTCAATTTTAAATCATATTCTCAGAAGAAATAATTAATCTATAAAATTAAGTAACTTTTCCACCAAACATCTTAGTACTGACCTTGACAAAGAACTAACTGTATAGCAGCGCTTTGTTTCTGAGAGTGGCAAGGAAAACCCAAAGCGTAGCAGAGGTAGTAACTTCCCTGGCTCAGACTGGTGGTAGCTTCCAGGAGCTGTGTAGAACATATGCCTCAGCTTGAGGACCAGGGTATTGGGTTCGTAATTATCATGGTCATAAGGCAAGACTGGGCCAATGGGGATAAGGCCACTGAAATGTATACCCCACGACGTCACCAGTTGAGCTTTCTCTTTCTCTGTCTCCGGCTTGAACCACAACTTAATGATAATGCCTGAGGATGAGAATGTAAACATGAATACTAACAATTAGTATCAAAATGAAAGATAAGACTCAAGAACCCTATATATTCTGTTAATTACATCTATCAATACTGCACATTAAGATGTCCTTTGGATTTTTATTTTTTACCGTTTTAGACAAACGTCAATTCTTGTTCAGACTCTTTAACTGAACTGCTGCAACATTCACTCTTAACTGTCCAAATAATTCATTATCTATTGTAAAGAAGATCAATCATTTTTCATCATATTCTCAAACGTATCAATGAGCTGCTAGTAACTCAGTGCTCACCTTTTAAAGATCTCAGATTTATTGGACTGATGTTCTCCTGCTGTAATTCTACCCAGTTGGGATTACATGTGCTCTGAAGTTCACTAGAATAGATTTCATCTTTGTTCTTTGGTGTATGAATTGTATAGTAGTAC